TTCAGCAACCTAAGTTGTGTGCAGGGCCTGATCTGATAGGCAGCCTCTGAGCATGCCTACTGTAGCCAGTCCCATTTAAAATGTGTCCAGAGGAGGTGGTGGTGATGTTGGCCATCTTATAACTTTTAGCCCAGTGATTAGAGCACTCACCTGAGATGTGGATGGATCAATTCCTATTTCTGCCAGATGGGGAGCTGTCAGGAGATTGCTGTAACCATGAGCTATGGAATAGTCTTGGGCCTTTAACAATTACTTCTCATACTGTATGGACCAGATTATGCTAATTGCAAAGGGACCCTGCCCTGAAGACACTGCAGAACCACACTGCCTTAGTGGGAGCTCCACAAAAGCCTGTTCTGCAGGCCCTCTGCCTAACTTATTCCACTGGGCTCCTCCTCTTAACTCCGTGTGAAATTCACCCTGGACATAGGACATTCAAAATACTTCTTAATTGGGACTTACACCCCTTGCAGAGTCTGCATGGGGTGAATTTCACACTGAATGAAACCAGGGTCCTGAGGCTATACTAATATACAATCAAATAATTAAAGACCAAAGCAGAATGTATATGCAAGGGGGAGGCAGTGTTAAGGTTATGTGTGCATCATTAATTCACTTTTGAGTGCTCAACTTTGCAAACTTAATGTTTTCTTAACATGGGCTCTAATCCTGAAAATACTTATTACCTCTTGACCTCAATGGGGCTGCTCACTGTAGTAAGCACTATATTCATTAGTAAGGGTTTGCAGGTGCAGTCATATAGTTTTCATGTATGCAGTTAGAGTACAAATCTTACCACTACTGGGGGTGCTGAAAGGAACAATAAAGTGTAAATTCTGAAATATTAGATTAACTATAATAGATTTATTTGCAGTTATTATTAGCAATTACATTTGATCTGCTGATACAGTACATATTATGATGAATCTAGTGGCGTTGTAATTACTCTTCAGGGACACTATTTAGAAATACCTTACAAGACCATTGTCTGTTTTATTCATTGGTGATAAAGATTGGGATCTTTCTAGAAGGAAAGTCAAGAAGTGCTCATTCAGGGGTATTGTGTCACATGTTTCTTGTCTTTTCCTGCTGAATCCCCGTCCTTGTGGAAAGATGGATTTTTACAAATATTAGCATATATATCTCAGAGTGCAAGTCACTGCCCTTCATCCTACCAGGCAACACATTAATTTAAAGGGGCCAAAGTATATTTTCCATGACTGCGATGCAAAAAATGCCTTGACATGTAGCTTGACAGTGCCACTAGAGCACAAGTTAGATTTTGTAGTCTCAGAATTTTTATTCACCAGACTTTTCATGAATATTCGGTTGCACTCTTCCCTTCTCCTATTATGTTATTAACTTTATCAAATTTAATTTACCTATCACTATCTACCCTGGGGATTGTGTGTAATAATGTTTCTCTGCTAAGAGAGAATTCATAATTGGGTAATGAATATTTAAATTTTCTTTTTTATCAAGGATTATGGGTGGTAATTTGATTATTTATAAACCTTTTAAATATATAGGGCCAAATTTTTTGTTGCTGTGTGTCGATTGAAGACAATGGAGTTACACAAGTAGAGAATTAGGCCCATTTTGTGAATCTTTTTCTTCCTATAACTGAAGTTTAGATAATGGAATTTTGTAATGGTTTGTTTTTCTTTTTTTTATTGTTATATTTGTATTGCAAAATTTCCATGAAAATATTACCTTGTTCCAGCAGAGTGATTTCAACAGTAGATCTCCAAGCTCTTTACAAGGAGGAAAATATCATTATCCCCATTTTACAGCTAGGTAAACTGAGGCACAGAGTGGTGACATGATTTGCCCATGGTCACGCAGTAGGCTAGCACCAGAGCCTAGAATAGTACCTAGGTCTCTTGAATCCCAAAAGAAGTGCCATATCTACTGGGCAACTGCTGTATTATAATTTTTGTGTGTGCGGTCCTTGTCACAGACCCAATAAGGGGAGATGGGCCTCAGCCTCACCTGCAACATGCTTAGCTCACGTTCCCAGGTGGGGAGGATGAGTAATAATGAGGTCATGTGACTAACTCAGGCCAGACTTAGGGACATAAGAGAGAGGCAGAGCTTGAGTGGGAGCTTGTAACATTCCAGTTAGGTAGGGCTAGGAGTGTCAGGCAGGACAGAAGTCTGGGAAGCTGCAGCTGGCCTGAGGAAGCAACAGTAGGTGAGTGCTGTGTGGGGAAAGACCGGGTCCTGCAGGAAGTAAAGGGGCTGTTAGGATTATAACCCAGCTCCAAGAAGGAGGACTGAGGGCTTCTGACTAGGGGAGAAAGGACTGGTTGAGTCATGGAACCAGGGGCCAGCAGGGTTAAGATGGCATGAAGTACTGTGTTGTGAATATGTCTGCAGCAAGGGAGTAAGATAACTATAAACTGAATAGAAATTCCATACTATGCATAAAAGTACTTTTTTGTGTGTGCAAATTAGCCTAGAGACTAGGACTAAAACTTTCACAGCAAGATATCTTATGAATTTCAACAATTTTTGAGTTATCCATGCCCCAAAGAGTACATTAAAATCTTTCCTCAACGGAAAACCTGTAATTTTTCACTCTCTCATACTCATGAATGGTTAAACAGAGTTTAAAATTTTCCCCAAATAACAACATTGGGTTGAGCATAATGATTGTAAATTCAGCTAAAATAAGAATTTCAGATAAAGTGAACATTAAAATAAAGAGGGTATTACCCTGTGTAACCTCAGTAGCAGTTCTTGCTATTGGTCACATTTACATAAACAAAAATTGATTGGTTCCAATGCCAGTAGCAGTAAAATATTGCCCAAAGTGCAGAGTGGTTTCTTAGCATGTAATACATTGCCCAAAACCTTTGGCTGTTTTTAATGGAAGGCATTTTAATGCTATTTCCCCTTGAGTCAGTTTGTCCTCATTTTTATTAAGATGAGGGTGTCTTTTCTCCCCATGGCCCAACTTACCAACAGGGAAGACCCTTGGCAGGAACATCCCTCCAAGGTAGCAGGGAGCTCTGGTAAACACTCCCAGTATCCAAGAGCCAGGTTTCAGAGGAAGGGAGTAGTTCGTTGAGGGTGTGTGGAACAGGGGGGAGGTTAGATATCTCTGGGAGGGATCAGGCTGGCATAGTGGAGGCAAACTTGGAGCCTTTTATGCCAGGCCTCCATCCCCTGAAGACCCAGGTCATCTGTTCCCAGGACAAGGCATTGGAGGTTGCAGACTGCTGACCTCTTTGGCAGTAGGCTGCTTCCCATATCTGAAGAGCATAGGTTGACTAGCTCCTTTCTCCCACCTTGGCTATCTATTTCCCAGGCAGGAGAGATTGTAGTTTGGATGCCTGCTGTCACCGAGATAACATCTGACCTATACTATTGGCCTCCCTAGGTCAACTATAGCCTACTGGGGAGGGCAATAGAAGATCATTCATTTTGATTTCACTGTTTTTGGTTTCTTAAGAAAACATTAAAGGTGTGTGTGTAATTGTCACTGTGTCTCAGTGCATCACAGCTGAGAATACTAGATTCAGGACAAACTGCTGAGAAATCAGACCAACTTACCCCAACTGGTGGTTATTCTCTCATTAGATTATACCAGTAACAAAGGTAAACTTCTGTCTCACCACACTGGTTAACAGGAATTCAAAGATGCAGTTTCCTTGGGCATTCCAACCCTTGTCTCACCACCCAGACACTGGACTCCATGAGGAGTGGTTACTGAAAACCACTTTCATCACATAGAGAGCTCTCTAATCCCAAGAGATCAGCCATGTAGCCAGGTCAATATATAACTCAGATGTTACCCAATAATCATGCTGCTGCCAATCCTTTAGTAACTAAAATCTAAAGGTTTATTAATAAAAGAAAAGAAGAGAGTTAATAATGATTAATAGATCATATACATACAAATAACTGCAAAGTCTTTATATCAGGTTTGTAGCAGTGATGGTATAGACTACTAGCTTGTAAAGTCTTGCTGGTAACTTCCAAAGATTGGAAGGTCCTCAGTCCATAGTTCGAAATACCCCTTTTTGTTGTAAATCCACAGTCCAGAGAATCAGGGCAGGAAACAGGCAAAATGGAAATATCTCCGGGCTCTTTTTTACCCTTTGCCATGTGCCTGGAATTTTACTGTCGCAAACAAAGCTCACAGCCCAGTTTGTGGAAAGTTACTGGCACAAGATGGAGTCCAGGATCACATGAGCATATTACATGTCCTTATATGGCTTGATGACTCACAGGGGGTGGCCATTGGCCCCTTGGAGGCTGAGGCATCTGCAGGAAGAGCTATCTGGATGGAATGAGTTTCTTCTATGGCTCATTGTGAGAGCTAAGTGTCTTTGATGGCCCATCCACACAAAGCTGTCTAGCCTTGATGTAAATCTTATCTGGTAGGTGTTACCCAGGAATACTACATGTATAAGATATACGTTCATAGCCAATATTCATAACTTTAGATACAGAGATGAAACATGGATTTAACCAGGATAATCATATTTGATAGACTGTAACTTTTCCATTGATACCTTAGATGATGTACTTTGTACAAGATTTGTTGCAATTGTATAACAGTGGCAATATCCATAATATAAATGGTCATATTTCAATCATACAGCATCACAGTAATATATATAAAACCACTACACTTTATTAAATCATTATTGAAGCATTCACTGAAAGCTGGCACTCTGCTTTCCAAAGGATTATAATTGTGTGTGTCTAGTTCATTAAAAGTGATTTGTGAGAGAGCCATTAGCTGACAATATTGTAATGCATCTTTTTTACTAACCACAATTCTGGATGCAGATGTGCATCATCACATATCTTTAAAAAATCTGCTCCTTGTCATGAATGCAGAAGTGCAGTAGCTGATTTTTAGCATGTTGGGTGACGTGCATTTTTGTACATGACAGTAAAATCAAGCTTGGTATTTATAAGAAAATAGTGTAATTTACATAACTATAAATCATTTAATTGTTTTCATTTTCTGGTTGATTTCCTAGGGCCTCTGTGCTCAGACTTTCTATGGTCACCTGCATTCCTGTAATCATGCTACATTCAACATGAAGGTAAGTTCTGTGCACGAAGGATCGGTTTTTCATGTCACAAATTATAAAGCCAGAAGTTACCATTGTGATCATCTAATTTGACCTCCTGTATTACACAGGCCATACACCTTCCCTGAAGTAATTCCTGGTTGAATTAGTGTATCTTTTAGAAAAACATCCAATCTTGATCTTAAAATCTCCATATTCCTCTTTTGTAAACAGTCTTTGTGAGCAGATATTTTTCCCTCATGAAATTGCCAATCTTGTAGGAATGTCTCACGATCCTATGACAGTTCGTGAGGGCACACATACTGACTACAGTATGTAAAGTTCCCACTATATGTACAATAACGCTCCATCCCTATGACAAAACTTAATTTATTTCTTGCTATCGCTGAGCCATTCCCCTCACTGTGACTGTAGTTAGTTTAATTAGCTGAGGTTTCCTGTTGGCTGTTAGTCATTTCCTGGGTAGTTAGTTTTGTTGCTGCTGTGTATAAAGGCTATTCTAGATCATTTTGAGTTGGATTAGTGATAGAATGCAGATTGATGGCAGATCTGGAGAAGGTGTGGGCCCTCATGGCTGAACTTCATGTGAGAGTAGAATGTTCTTTGCAGACCAGCACATTGAGTGCTTAAAACACCCTGATCCAAAGCCTGTTAAAGTTGGTGTACAAAACCCCACTGATTTCAAAGGGCCCAAATCAATCCCAAAATGCCCATGAGAATGGTGTTTCCTCTGTAAGAGCTCAGTCTATGCAGCCTTAACTTCTAAGACACAAGCTCCAACTGGGAATAATCCTTGTTTTGCTATCTGAGAGCCTCTCCTGGGCTCTCTACAACCAGTGGGGAGGGCAGGGCACCCCAAAATCTTCCATTAATGGTGAGGAGCAGGGCAAGGCACAGCAGTGCTCCTCCCACCACACTGTGCTTCAAAAGGGGCTTCCCTGCATGGAATGGAAAAGCCGAACCAGCTCTGCTTGCATTAGAAGGGGGGATTGGGAGATCGGAGAACTGGTGACTGTCTGGCTCCTCCATCAATCCTGACCAGACAGCTCTATTGTTTGGGGGGGGACTGGTAATTCTACACACACACACACACACACACACACACACCAAGGTTCAAACTTTGCTCTAAATTACAGTGAATCTGAAGTAATTCCACAGAGGTAAACAGAGTTACTGTACGATAATGAGGTACAAAGAATGTAAATGCCTGTCAAGTTGGAAAGTGCTATATGAGAACTTGTTTTAAATGTAGCAGTTTATCAAATTCTTACAATTTGATATAGGTGTATTACAAAAAAAGATTCTCAAGTTCAATGCCAGCTCAAGTTGCCTGAGTGAAATTTACATTATGCGATTGTACTGTTTTCCTATCATCGCTGAACACAAATATACACATCAGGTCTGATTTTTCAAAACTCAGAACAAGAATACTATTTTGCAGAATGGACAGTAAAGTGATTGTCCTTTAAAACTGTCCCATTTGCCTTTTACGTGCACCGACAAGGAAGAGCTGGGTCCATGATCCTGCCTCCCTATTCTGCGCCAGTGGATACAGCCAATCATGGAAGGGTGCATAGGATGCACTATATAAAGTGTCTGTCCGCCATAATACCTAGAGAAGGGATTTTACCTCCAAGTGCAATTTCCCTTGGGTCTCCCTCGGATGGGGCACTTCAGCACCTCCAGGTAACTGAGCTATGTGGAATCTGTTATTCTGGTGAGTACTGTGTGTCTTGGGGCCATTCACTAGAGAAATGTGCAAAACGATATCCTCCCTTATGCTATGCCTTTGGAAAATGTAGCTGCTAATTATGGCTGCTGAGCACTTTTGAAAATTCTGTCCCTAAAGTGTAACCAACTGTGAAGCATTTTGAACAAAAAGGAACATCTGCAACTGCAGTAACGTGAAATACTAAATAACTGACATTCATTAATTGTATCCAAAATATAGATTATTTCAGATAGCGCCACAAGAATGGTAATTGATACTTCATCTAACAGCGGAAAACTGCCATCTACCGTCTCCTTTTCAAAAGTGACTTAGGCATATAGGAGCCTAAGGATAACATTTCAAAAGAACTTAAGTGGTTTAAGAGCCTAAGTCACAAAAGTGAGTTAGGAACTTAAGTCCCATTGACTTTCAGTGAGACTTGAGCTGAAGCACCTAAGTCACCTTTGAAAATGGAATTTAGTGCTTTTGGATATTTTGCCCATCATGGCCAGTCCTAGAGATTGCTGGGTTCCATCAAATACTTGAATCTTTCAGTGAGTATCCAGTAGAGAGAGGCTTGGAAAATATTCTTTTGGTGCTAGTTTCAGCTGAAGCAATGTCCTAGCTATGCTGGCCAGACAATCTGGCAATTGAAACATGTACACCTCAGGTTCAGCTGCCTTGCCTTCTGCATATGTACAATTAATTTATATAACTGTAATTACCACTTCTGAAATTACACTCCTCCCTCAGTTCAATCAATACTGCACTGGCTTTTCCATCTATACTAATTCAATCATTGAGAATGTCAACCAATGATTTCAGCCTAGAGTTTAATGCCAGCTGTAAGATTCTTTATCAAAATAACGTGCTTATCTGGAAGATTATCAGCACACAGTCCCTTGGCTTCCTGTTAATTATTTTAGGTCATGCAGCATATTCTGCACTGGAGATGAGTCCTTTAGTACATGCTCAGCATAAAGGCCAACTTGCACCTTTGCTTGCTCTGATGAAGCCTTTATTCACCATTCTAATTATAATAAATAGTTATATTCTATGTTTTCTAGGCCATCATGCTGCAAAATATTAAGGGCAGGATTAGTAATTGCTCAATCAGGGCATCATTTAAAACAAAATACAGCACAGAAGGGAGTTAGGATCCCATTGGAGTACCTATCCCCAAACTAGGAATATGACCTACCTCTTACTAGGTCATATAAGAAGATGAGACTCTAGGGATCCTTCCTAGTAGCACCGGGGCCTCAGGAGACAGCTAAGCAGCAGCTGCTATTGGGCAAAGAGAAAATATCCAGTGTTCCCTGCAGCTAGCAGATGGCCCCTCAAAATCCTGCAATAATATAGGAAGGTGTGGGACAGGCACCTGGGACACCCGCTGGGAAACACTTAACAAGGAGGACAGGAGGGAGCAGGTGCCCAAGGGACAGGCAGGCAGGGAGTGTAAGGGACCATCACCCTCTTGCCAGTCTGGGAAAGACATGGAGCAGAAATGCTTGCGTATAAATGGAGGAATGAGTGACCATTCATTAGTGCTTGTTTATAACTGATATTCTCAGCACCTTGCCTGCATTAGATTAGGGGGAAATAATCATAGTAACCAATTTTCCTTAAAACAAATAGTATTTCTGAAATTATCAGTGCCCCAAAGGCTTCATAAAACATACTTCAGTAGCAACATCCAGCTTTCCCTCCCCACGCAGAAATGCAACCAGCATTTCAGGTCAGTCTTCCATTGATTTACTGAAGGACAAATAATGTCAGACAGTTCTTATACAAAAACAAAATTTCAATTTTGTTTACCTCTTCAGCAGTCCAGCTTGATGTCAGCTACCATTTAGCTAGGCCAATAATATTGATATTTGATGTCAGTTCTTATTCATTACTGCACCCAAATGATACAAAAGCCAAATCTTTTAGATGTTTCCATAGATGGCCAAATAAAGCCAGGGCTGTCAGACTGCAGCTGACAGACGGAAACCAGAAAAGAACAGAATACAAAATCAAACATGGATCTGCTGCTGCTGCTGTTATTTATGTATTCAGAGTGTTCAGTTCTTTGCATAAGCTCAAAGCCAGTCACTTATAAAGGTTACCTAGTAATATCAAATGTGTAATTAGACATGCAGAAGGGCTAATAGGCTCTTCTCCTAGTTTATTGCTATCTTCATGCATAAGAAATATAATTACACAACTGGGTTACACTCTAAATGCAGATATTAGTATTATTACTTGAAAGTTATTAGAAGTAAAAAAAAAAATCAAAAACTGAGAAGTGTCCTTATCAAGGCAAAGGGAGAAAGAAATTCCTATTCTGTCACAGTGGTGGGGCAGAGAGGAAAGTATGCACCAAAACATAATTGTTCCTCATACAGTTTTTCATTCATTTTGCTGGTAGGTAGAGATTCAATCAGATGCAACTGTAGGAAGAAGCCTACCTTAACAAGTAGGACTGATTCCA